GATATTTGCATACTCATCCAAGCTTATCATTAATAATAAAATGAAGCACCCAAGCCAAGTTGTTAAATCTATCTAACTAACCTTAGCAGGGCATAGAGTTGCACTCCTACAGTATTTCAGAATCATAACTACATCGCTAATGAATGATTGAAACGTGCTAAGAATTAAGTTGATATTTTGCCAATCCTTGGTACTTTCAGGCATATTTTGAACCTCTATAATGAATCAAGAAATCTTATTTCAACAAAAGGCTCAATATTTTTTTTTTCCTCCGGAATCAGCAACTAAATTCAAAGCAGTACCCAACAACTCACAAGTTCAAAGGTTTGTCACAAACATCACTATGGAAATAAAGTGTGATGGCAACTTCAAATTCCCCCCATCCAGCCTCCGACAATTCAAAAGGTGGCGCCTCCACAACACGGGTGGGATTATTGAAACTAGAATGCAACTGAAAAACAGCACGCTTTATTATCGCCCCAAGATCTTCATTGGATGCTCCACGGACATATACTGTCCATTTATGTGACTGATACCTTGCATAACATAAATATGGTCACTTTCTTACTCTCTTTGTTAAAAAAAACACATTTTCGTGACTTCAAACTACACATTAGACCGGGTGGTGGCGACGTAGGATACTTACTCGCTGGCCTTTTTGCCAAGCCAAAATGCTATGTTCCCATACACGATTGGAATGCTTATTTCTACATCTTTGAGTTTATTAACCAAGCTGAGTCCAAAACGGGTTGTTCTGGATATTGAACAGACCGTTCTGGCCGCGGCCTGATGCCTATAAATAGAGCGTTTTGCACTTTCTAAAACTCATTTTTTCATTTTTTAATTTTTTTCCTCCTTTCTCTCTAAAGACCAAGAAGGCGACTAACAAGATTCGACTCCTGCTTATCAAGGTAAGGGGGAGAGTGAGAAGTCTTGCTTTGGGTGTGGGAATATATATTGGGTAGTGGGATTGATCCCCAATCCTATGTTTGTTTGTATTTAAAAATAAATGTATAATTTTAATATCTCTATGGGTTCCTATGGGAAACCCTAAGGAAATGCATTTGTAATTGTAAGAGACAATTATATGATAAGATGTTTCTTGTATGAATTAGAGTTCTCTGTATGAGAAATAGGCATATTTTCAATAATTTATGTTTTACCTTCTGATTGTTCTTTTGTACTCCTTGTTGTATAAGATGTATAAATGTGTATTTAATTATTAAAATAAATGAGTTTTAATACGGAATAAAGTGCTTTGTGGAGATTGTGAATGAAATGTGATAATGAAATGTGATGACGAAAGAATGCCAGCAATTTGGCAACACGCACCGGCAACCGCCCGAAGCTCTCCACCATATGGTATCGGCATGGCCTTTCTCCCAATGGGGAATGGACATCCTCGGACCATTCCCCCCATGCAAAAGGTCAGCTCAAGTTCCTCCTAGTGGCAATCGACTACTTCACCAAGTGGATCGAGGCATGCCCACTCGCCAACATCACCACCGAAAATGTGCAAAAGTTCACCTGGAGGAGTATTATTTGCAGATTCGGAATCCCTCACACCCTCGTTACTGACAACGACCGACAATTCATCGCACAGGGATTTGAGGACTTCCTCCGCGAGCTCGGTATCAAGCATCTCCCGACCTCGGTGGAACACCCCCAGACCAATGGCCAAGCCAAAGCAGCCAACAAGGTCATCCTCCGGGAACTTAAGAAGCGGCTAGGGAACGCCAAAGGACAGTGGGCCGACAAGCTCCCAAGCATCCTCTGGGCATATCATTGCACCCCTCAGTCAACCACGCAAGAGATACCTTATAGGTTGACCTACGGAGCTGACGCAATGATCCTAGTGGAGGTCGGAGAGACATCCCACCGACGCCAAGTTTTCAACAGCGAGCAAAACACTCAAGAGTTAGCAACCGACCTCGACTTGGTCGACGAGCTCAGAGACGAAACTCAAATCCACGAAGAAGCCTGCAAACTCCGAGCTTCCCGCAGATACAATACGCAAGTGCGACCTCGCTCTTTTCGAGTCGGCGACTTGGTATGGCGGCTGTTAGGCAAAGCACGGAAAGACACGTCAGAAGGGAAGCTTGCACCCACTTGGGGTGGCCCATTCCGAGTTACAGAAGACTTGGAAAATGGAGCATACCGACTAGAAGAGCTCAACGAAAAACCTATACCGTGAACTTGGAATGCTACGCATCTCAAGTTTTATTTCAGCTAATTTTGTACGAATGAGCTGTGCACTCTTTTCCCGCCCCAGTCTTTTATCCCAAAAAACAGAAAAATGGGTTTTGGCTGAGAGGGTTTTTAACGAGGCACACTCACATAATCAATAAAATGACTCACTCTGTGCAACTCATATTTCTTAGTTCTGCATCATTTTATGTTTTATGCTGAATAGAGGTCGAGTTTGAACCAATTTATTTCGCTCTCATTCAATGTCGAGTTCGAACCTTCACAAAAATTACTTAACGAAAATTCGAGGTCGAATTCGAACCTTGGCATAATTAACTCAAGGTCGAGTTCGAACCTTCACAAGAGTTACTCAACGAAAATCCGAGGTCGAATTCGAACCTCGGCATAATTAACTCAAGGTCGAGTTCGAACCTTCACAAGAGTTACTCAACGAAAATCTGAGGTCGAGTTCGAACCTCAGCATAATTGACTCAAGGTCGAGTTCGAACCTTGGCAAAATCCACTCAAGGTCGAATTCAAACCTTGAAGAAATCCACCCAAGGTCGAGTTTGAACCTTGACGAAATCTACTCAAAGTCAAGTCCGAACCTTGACGTAACCTACTAAAGGCCGAGTTCGAACTCAGCACAACTTATCTTACAGAAGACTTGGAAAATGGAGCATACCGACTAGAAGAGCTCAACGAAAAACCTATACCGTGAACTTGGAATGCTACGCATCTCAAGTTTTATTTCAGCTAATTTTGTACGAATGAGCTGTGCACTCTTTTCCCGCCCCAGTCTTTTATCCCAAAAAACAGAAAAATGGGTTTTGGCTGAGAGGGTTTTTAACGAGGCACACTTACACAATCAATAAAATGACTCACTCTGTGCAACTCATATTTGCTTCATGGGCCTTTGGGCTTTTGGTACCCAATATTGGGCTCATTCTTCTTCTTGTAATTTTCCTATTCATTGTATTTTCTTGACCATTGTATTTAGGTCATTAGAATAGGGTTTAAGGAGGATTTGTAGTTTAATTGGATTAGGTTAAACTAGGTTTAATTTAGGATGCATTTAAGTTACATTTTGAGTCACATGTTTGACGCCACCTTGGCTGAACATGTGTGACTCAAAATTAACCATAAATGCATACTAAATCAAAGCCAAATGCACCTAGCTCTAAGTGTGACCGGTCACCACATGTGAGTTAAGTTTTGAATTCAAATTTTTGAAATTTGAATTCAAAACTTGGCGCCACATGTGAGGCTTTCACATTGGCGCCAAGTGCCTGCTTGTTCCGGATTCTTTTAAATGCTTCCTTCACACATTGTAATCTTTACTTTGAGCTTAATGAAATTTGAGAGCAAAATATTGCCGAGTTTCTCATCAAAGTCACCGTGAGAGAGAGAGCTTCACCTTAACAACCCTACTAGGTTTCCTCCTCTTTGAAGTGGGCTTTCCCATGAACCTTAAGCTTAGATGCTTCCATCCAAGGCTTAAGCCTCCTTCCATCCGAGAACATCATCCATTCCAAGTGTTTTGTTTCGGTTTCCATCTCCTTTGAAGAAGATCCGAGCTAAGGAGAAGATAAGGAGAAGCACTACTTCCACTTCTCCTACCTTCTCCATCAGTGTATGAATGTGGTACCTTCTATTTAAACATGTTGGTATTTTAATTTTGAAATAATTATGTTATTCAATTTTTGTTATTTGTATTATGGTATGTGGGGTAGAGGGTGTCACAAATTTGATCCTTGAACTTTTGTTCATTTTAATACTTACAATAATTGATACACTTGTCAAAAGAAAAAAAATGATTATTCTATAATTAATATCGAGTGAATAAAGTAGTTATTAAAATAATGTGATTAAGACAATAGGGAATGATTATCAAATAATTGCATGTGATAACTATCTCGTGGACTTAGTGATCTTGGCCCATTTGATCTGTTTGCATGATTTAGGGGAACAATTCAATCTAGTCGAACTTGGTAGTACATAAGTCCTCGATTAGCTCTAAACTCATGGAAGTGAAGGAGTTGTAGTTCTTTTGTGACTGGCTCAGGTGACACATATATAAACTCCCCAAGTCATTTCAATTCAATTTGAGAAAATGATGTTAAATGTATATAGTTTAACGGATTATATAGTAGAATATTAAAAGTATGTCATTTCAATTAATCTTTTTATCAAGATCCAAATGTTCATTATCTATAGTTAGAAGTGAAAAATTGAAAGCTTCTAAATGGCTTAAAAATGAAGTTATCCATATAAACAAGCTTCAACATATAATAGTATATATCTTCCCCATTTCAAAAAATTTGATTCCCCATGCATGTGCTACACACCTTGGATGCGTACCCATCTCAGAGTCACCCAACACAACGTGTGTATGAAGAAATTTTCATTGTCACATAGGAAAATATTATAGACAATGGAATTGAGATTCAAAAACTAATAAATGTTGAGAGTTAGGCAAAACTAGAGAGTTGTCCCTAATAAAAACAAACTATAGTTTACCACACTTTTACGACTCTTACTAATCTATTAAACCAAAAGATGAAAATTATCAACAATAATAAAACTTATTTAAAATTAATTCTTTCAAACTATTAATAAATATCACATCGAAGTTGTTAAACATGAAAACCATAACTATCCCATAAAATTTATGTTTTGGTTAAAATTTGCAAACCTAAGTTTTTCAACCCTACAAACTAAATATGCATAAGGAATCTTGGTCTTGCTTCTACGAGACTAAATTTTTAGAAAATAAATATATATAAGTTTGCAAATGTACTTTTGAAGGTAAGCAAACATGTCATGAAATTGAGTTTACTCCCCAAACTATTGTTTGGAGCACAAACGAGAATCCAAACATATCCTAAGTCCGGATTCCAACAGAATTTGAAAATCAATCACATAAAACTACAACATGAACATCGAGTTTGAACACAAAGTTGGCCTTAATTTCCTATTTAAACCATCATTCCATATACCTCTCGTTGATGCCACATTTGCCTTCCAAACCTGTCAACGGAATAAGAAACACAACTCAGTTAGTAAATCTACTAACTACGGCAGGGAGATTAAGATTAACACCTTCAAAAAAGGTTTTTTTTATATATATATATATATATATATATTTTATATATCTTGGTAATTAAATGAGCTAAACAGATTAATCATGAGAAATTAAAAGTTAGGCTTAAATATGCTTTTAAGTTTAATAAAATGAATTAGTTTTGATTTTAGTTATTATAAATTTTTTCTTCAATTTTTATCGATAAAAAGTTTAAAATGATTATTTTTTGTCTTTTGAATGGAACAAAAACCTAACTTTAAGATCATTATTAAAAAACTAACTTTAAGATCATTATTTTTGTCTTTTAAGTAATTTGTTAAGATCCAACATGTATCCTAAAGTTTAAAAACTAACTTTAATAATGTCATTATTAAAAGTTGTAACGTATATCTTCAAGTAAGTACCGCACATGTAACAAATTCATATATATAGTCATATCAAATTTCCGATACCCGTATATACAAATAAAACTCAACATAGGGGTTGATTTTGTATATTTATCACCAAATAAAAGGTAACAAAAAAAATTAAATTTAATTATCAATGGTAGAACTATATATTGAGATCTAGAGGCTCTAATTGTTCATCATACCTCATAATATAGAATGGCATATTTTGATATCTACTCATTCTTTTCATGCTTCACTTTCTTGTTGTGTTTCACTTTCATGCGCTTCAATTTCTTGTCTTTGGGTTTTGAATTACTAGCAAGCACACATTGTGAGCATTGCCATTTTCCTTCGGGAACAGACTTCAAGTAAAACAAAAAATATATGACAATACCATAATAATATGGATCAATTGAATAAAACAACAAATTAATTTCAGAGTAAATCATATAAGCATACCTCTAAAGAGAGACACTTAAGGTGATAAGCACGAGGACAAGTATCACAGCAGAGCAAGTCTCCGCCATCAAAACAAATTTCACACTCATAATAACTCTAAAAATAGATGCAACATTTTAATGTCAGCAACATATATATATATGAAATTGTGATGCTAAATATATTAAATTGATAAACACTATAAATCTAGTGTCTAGTGCTTACTAAAATAATATCAATTTCAGGCATCAGGTCTTCCTTAACACATTCAATTTAACTTCTCATACAATGAGTTCATAACTTTTGCAGCAGAGAATATATATATATATATATATATATGAGAAAATATTGAATGGTAGTGAGGATATGGTTGTGATCATTCAGAAATAACTCCCCAGA